TTTCAGATACATGTGGATCTAAATGTGGAACATAGTTTGACACAGTTTAAAGAATCAGTCCACTTTTTACGGAAATAAAGAAGTTTGCTGTCTGACTTAGATTTAGATACTGTGAGAAGAGCAATATGAATTTAATGTCTGTACATTCAGCAGACAGGTTGGTCTGTGTGGGGTTTTGTCAAGGAAAACACAAATACTGAAAACAGGGTGGAAAGTGGAGACTTCCCACAAAAGGGGAAACTTCCATCAACTTCCAACCAATTTGACTTGTTTATATTTGTGTTGTTTACTGGCCAAAGTAGTGAACAATCATTTAGGCTGTTTTTAAAAGTTAGGTCATTTTAAGACACAAACCCAAATGTCATTGTTTTTATCTACAACTAAATGCATTAGAAGAAAAATGAAAACTTCCATCAACTTCCAGCATTTCACCATATAGGACCATGTATAGCAGACATGTGGCATGGGGGCTGATCACTTCTTCTCAAGCAATTTGTCTACAAAGTAAAAGGACAACATTAATTTTGTTGTTGCAGTGCTTGACATATCGAGCTGTATAAAATAGCTTTTATTTTGAAAAATTGTGAATTTGGGTCTGAAGATTGTGTCAATCGCTCCACAGACCTCTGACACAGCCAACATGCAATGTATGAAAATCCTCAAACTTATAAAAAAGCCAGACACGTGAACAGTAATGAAGCAGTGTGGAGTGGAAAGCAGTGTTTGCACACACACTGAACACACCGTGTGTCCCGCTCGCTGTTACCATGCCAGTCATGGAGCAGTGCAAACCACTGCCAGACCCAGAGCCCTGCACAGAGGGCATGGTTGGCACCGCTGCTGCCCTGAGGGTCACCACGTCTGAGAGAGGGAGAATTAGAGGGATGAAGGAAATGGGGGACGTAAAGCCGAGTGGATTTAGGGATGGCGAATTGTGATGAAAGGGCTCAGTTCATATACCTAAAAACTGGCTAAGCAAACCAAACAAATAATTAAAAACTAGTTTAATTTTACAGAGAAATTGCAAAGAGCATTTATGGAAAGTCTGCATGAATTATCTTACTTTTACTTCACCTTGTAAATCTGATTAGACACAAACAATGCACCGCATAAGTTATTATTCTAAATGCATCTTCCTACACCATCAAACATAAATATTTCTCATTTGGTCTAAGGTTACTATATCATGGCCCCGGAAATTCAGGCACTTTTTAAACTCTGAGCAATGTAAAACAAACTTCTCCTCCGACTGAGTGTGATTCACTCAGCAGTGTTTCATCTTTCTCATCCTCCACACACCGGTGAAACGCTGAAGTCCACAAGGAGCGAAGAAAACCTCCATATCTGTCTGTCTCACCTCGAGCATCTCTTCCCACATCTGACACTTAACCACAACTTACACACACACACATGAAACCAAGGACGGCAGAGAGAAAACAAGCCATATTCATTATAGATTGAAACAGATGGCGCTATCCAGAAAGTGTGCAGGCAGATACTTTGCAGGCATGCACTGTATGTATATGGCCTGTTTGTAGAGGACACTTAGAATCTGTACTTGTGTGTTTGAAGGGCTGTTGTGGTGGCTGGCTGGTTGTCTGGTTGGCACCCACACATTTGTGTACTGGGAGACAGATGCATTCTTACATAAGACCTTATATAATGCTGCCCCTTGTCCTATCCAATAAGAGAGCTCCTTTTTCACTCTGTGAGCGGGAAGGTTGGTGCAGGTTAGACAACCCTTCCTTAACATAACCACCACCACCACCACCGCCGCTTACACGCTCACCCCCACCTCACTCCTGGATACGAAGAAAGATGAAAAAGACAGGCAGAGGCAGAGATGGAGGCAGGGCCCTAATTCTGTATGTCTCCATAGCCTCTGTCCCTTCATCTCGCTGGTGCGTTCTTGGGTGAGATTTCGCCCTAGGGTGAAGAACGCATAATGTGAACTAGGAACCTAAACGAGCATGGCCGGTTTATGTGTGTGTTGTGTATATGACAGACGGAGAAAGACAGTCCACAGGCTCACACCTATAAGACTTTGAAGGAAATATACTGGGTTCCCATCTCTCTTTAAAACTCTACAGCTGAGTGAGACAGAGGAGGAGGAGCAGGGAGGAACAGGCTGGCCAAGCATGAAAACAGATGTCAGAGGAGACAACAGACTCTGAGGAAGACACAGAGAGAAGGACAGAAGTGGGGAAACAGTGAACTGAGATGGATGGATGGATCCTGCGATAACTCGAGAATAGGAAAAAGGGCCAAAAAAATAAAGGTGGCGGCGCCTTTCCCTTCCCCCTGCGGCACAAGCCTGTCTTTCTCTCATTCAAAGGCAGTTAGCTACTCTTTGATGTATCTATAATTAGTCTGTACATACTGTGAAGTGTTTTAAAAGAAATCAAATTGCAATGTAACACTTGAGCACTCCAAACAGGGGCTAACATGCTCTGGAGCGAACAGCAGAAATTAATGGCGGGCCTTTTTGATGTGCTTGATCAGAAATGTATTTATTAACTGCAAAGGGGAGCAGTAATTAACCCGCAGACAGCTTGTTTTCTCTGGGTCTTCTCATGTGTCAAACGGTTCATCCCGCAAGGCTCCACTCTCCACCCGCCTGCCCATGCGCACACACCTCCCATCCCCTCCCGCTGGACCACTTTCTCCTCAATTAAGTAGACGGCATGTGCCCGTTAGTGTGTGTACTTTTGTGCGTGTGAGTGCGTGCTCGCTTATGTGTAAGGGGGAGCAAAATAGACCACTAACAAGGAAGAAGAGTATTGTGGCTGCTATGTGTGAGGTGCACGTCTGTAGGTGGAGAGAAGTTTGAGGGCATTTGATAAAACAGCTTTATATGAACAATGCGCCAAAAACAAAATACAATATATTGTGCAAATATACAGTGTTTTATAAAAGTTGGGAGGTTGGCAGTTGAGGGTGAGAGTATATATGTTTGTGTTGGTGTCAGGTTGGAGGAGGTGAAGGAGTTTCGACACTGATAGACAACAGAGGCTGGGATGGCCTCTAGGGAAACCAGACACTGGCGTATTCGAACATCCTGTAACTTAAAGTGAACACAAGGAGTCTTTCAAGTCTCTGTTTTGATGTTATTGTCGCCATACTGGATCTGCTATATATGCACATATTGTCTGAGTGTTTTTAAGAGGGCTTTCACATGACAGGGATATCACATAAAAGAGAGCAGTTAGAGCCTTGTTGAGGCCTCTACTCCACACACACACATGCACGCACGCACAAATGCGCGCATACACACACACACACACACACACACAC